GTTTGTTCTCACTTCACAATTTACAAACCTAGTGCTTCTTTATTTATCCTTTTTCTTTGGTAATTTTATGTTTAAAAATGTGTTTTTTTTTTTTTTTTTTTATTTATTTTATACTTCTTGGGTTTATATTATAGCAAAGGTCCTTAAATTTAAATGTACATTAAAATTAAAATTATAATTTTTTTATTTTAAATTATTCTGTCTTGACAATTTTGGGTGGAGATTAGCATACCGAGGATGCTTAGATGAGCAATCCCTTCCACTTAAAACTGTGATGCTTAGATGGAGAATCGAAACTAGACTTACGCTATTTACACAATCTCTAATTCGCCCTAACTATACCCCAATGGATTTCTGTAAAATCTTTTATTTGATAAACTATACTCAAAGAAATTGTACCAAATTGACCCTAAATCTTAACTTGATATTAAAATGTTTCAATATTAGTTAATTTTAATAAGAATATCATCAAACTTTAGAGTCAAACAACTTTTTCCCACCCAAGGATTGCCTTAATGACACTTTCCACCCAAAAAGTTTCAAAATATACTTTCACACAAGTTTAGATTCTGTTAATATCCAAAATACTCATTCTCAACCAGCTGTTCAACGAATACCAGGAGCCATGAAGAGAGGTTTTGTAGATGAGGAGCGGTGATCAATGGTGATGACTGATGAATATCGCTGTTCTGGATAATTAGAAAAGAAAAAACCTTAGCTTTGGTGGCACAATCGGCAGAAATCAAGTGCCAGAATGAGGGTTTTTGTAGAGAGTAGACCAGAAGTTCAAATGGTGGACATAGAGAAATTTTCGCTGTGCAAGAATCGATTAGAATTGCTTTTGGTAGTCATTGAATATTACTTGAGTGAAAAAATTTATTTTGAAACTTTTTGGGGGTAAAGTGTTCATTAAGGCAAACCTGTGGTGGGAAAAGTTGTTTATCTCCAATTATTAAGAAGAAAATACTTGAATATCTATTTATTTGTGGAAGGAATTAACTTTGCGGCCTAAATGACGATATCGAGGGATATATGTTAAATGAGTAGATAATATTTGGTTGTTTTGTAAAAACATTCCTGGAAAAAACGGGTCGAACATATGCCAATTGGGGGTAATTGCAGAAATATAAATGGGGAAGGCTGTCATTAAAACAGTCTATTGGTAATCCAATTTTTGGTCCAATTGCCCAAAAACATGGCAAGAACAAAAAAATATCTTTGCTTGTTAATAATTACAAACAATAATTGCACAAAAGACGATGTGTCCAATTTTTAATTTTTTGACGAATTGTATGTTTTTATATTTAAATGCCAGAATATGTTTTATCTCACGTATTTGATATTGGGACAAATGATCCTTGGATTTCAATAAAACTATTGTTGCTTAAGCATTTTTTGGAGATGTGTATTACTTGCATTTAGTTGAACGATATGAATGTTGAAGAAGAAGTAGGTGCCTGAGCTTTGGCCAACTGTATATTGTGTAAAGAATATGAAATACACCATTGTTGAGGTAACTGCATTAAAAACTCCATTGAAGATCTTGTTAATGAATTTATGGAAAATCTTAATGTGCGGTATCACTATATACAATTCTATGTCTGCATTATGCTGGACAAGGAAATTGTGACAAGTTTTCCATTTCCATCTTTTATTCAATAACACTTTGCATGAGAAAATTTAAATGACAGCTATAATGAATTTCCAAAAAAAAAAAGGTATTTCAGACGATTGTTATTACTGTCAACCAACACATTAATTATTAATACATCTCAATTGAACCAAGCACACTAATAATTTAAACCAATAATAACGTAACTTATTTTTCATAATCTTATTACTAAAATAAAAAACATATATTAAACCATGTTACATGAAAACTGACCAGTATGACCGTAGATGAGTCATCTTTGTGTATCCTTAAAACTGGTATTTTCAATCAAAGGATTTAGCAGGGTTGGACCTCGGATAGTGCCATCCGGTCCAATCGACTCAATCCCAAATTCGGCTCGTTGAGGGAGAAAACACCACATTAGACTTGACGACGTCTCCACGACAAAACCCAGCCATTTTCAGTGGCCCGTCTAGCCTGTCACGCTATAGTTCAGCGACCGTCAGACTTCCTCTTGATTCCGGCAAGTTCTCGACGCGATGGAAACTCCTAACACCACCATCAGATTCTCGGCACCCTATCATCAAAAGCCCTGATTCTAACTTGATTGCGTCGATTGTCGCTGCCCCACCAGTCATCAGTCTTCACACGGACAGGGGGGTTTTGGACATATTTCAACTTAAGGGGTATTATAAGGGTATTTTTGATGAATTTTAACATTTGGGACTAAAAATTTTCAGATAATTCAACGACAGATCCACATCGAATCAACTGAAATCAGACCCTTGACGGGTCATCAGTCTGGTTTTCAACATTGTTACAAAGTACAAAATTGGATTTGAATGTCCTTAAAAATAAATAAAATAAAAAAGGTAATCTTTTATTTCTAATCTACAATCATTAGGTGTTTGGTGTGTGTTATCATAATTAGGGTTTAATTAAGTTTAACCTAACCCCATCTTGATATTGATATGTCATCATCCTATATTGATTGCCCTCACATGCTTCTTTAGTAAAAAGCATAATCAAAAGGGGTATTTGGGTATTGAAGTTCTTGACTGAACTCATTAACACCTGTGCATGCAACAGATCATCCAGCGGTTCGTGCAGTGTGATGATAACTGATCGGATCTCAGTTTTGTCCTCAGACATTTTGTCATGATTCCATTTTGCCCACGTTTTGTTCTAATTGCATAAAGTATTTATCCTCTTTTTAAGACATGTTTTATTAGCCCACCCCACCCACCCCCATCTCAAATTATTGCAAAAGTTCACATTTTTTATATATATATAAGATTATGTTGATAATAATATTATATAAACTATTATTAATCCATCTAATATTGTATACATTATCATAAATTAGGTGTAATTTTTAGATGTTTTTAATGTCTCTTTGTCAGTTCTGTTGTAGTACACAATTATATGGATTCGTAGGGTTAGACGATTTGGTTGAAAAAGAATAGTATTTATTTCTCAGGATTTTATGGAAAAAATTGTCTCATTTCCTATCATTCCTTAGAAAGATATTCAATCTCATAGGAATAAAGTGAAAAATATTTATGTTCGTCGGTCCTTTAATGAAAATTAGAGACTCGCTATCTTTTACTCGTACTAATGAGAATTTGACTCTTTTTTTTTTTTTTTTTAAATAATGAGGAATAAAATGAAATATCAATTGAGGATTATGATATAACCCTAATGTGACCACAAGTTTTTTTCCCATAAAAGAAATATCAACCTTATATAATCATATGACCCATTTTTAAATTCATTAAAAGAATAATTAAACTGAAATTTGCAATACAATAGGTACCCAAATAACAAACACAAATGAAAAAAACAATTCTCAATTGTTTAAAAACTTTGAATAGAGGGAAGAGACATTGATAATCACTAAGAGGTTCAAAAGAATTAATTGTTTTTTGGAAGCACATTTACCAAGAGTATTTAGGCTTAATGTGTTTGGTTAAACGGCTATGATTATGTCATCCAAACAATTAAAAACAAATCTAGCCTAATTAATTAATTTAATTAAATACTAATCTAGGATTAGGGCTACTGCCTTGTAATTCGGACCTTTTAAAAAATGGATTTTAGATAGAGTAAACGACCTTTGCCCGGTCAAGGTTTACCTTAAATGACACATTCTCGTCCAAAAAATTTTAAAATATTATTTTCTCACCCAAAGTTTATATGTTATTAATATCTAAAATACATTTCACTTTCTCAGTCGACGTTCAGTGAGTTACTAGGAGTCAGAGTAGGAGGAGTTTTGCAAGTAGAGGCCGATAGATCAAATGATAATCGACTGAATATTCGTCCTTAAAATTAGCTAAGAACAGGAAACCTTAACTTTACCGTGATCGACAATCGGTGATAAATCAAGTGTTGCGGTAAGATGTGTTTTATAAAGAGGAGACCAGAGGTTCAAATGACGATGACAAAGAGAATTTTTGCCATCAAAATCAGCTTTAGATAATAATAGAATGTAAACTTTGAGTGGGAAACTGATATTCTAAAACTTTTTGGGTGGTAAAATGTCATTAAGACAAACCTTGGGTGGGAAAATGTCGTTTACTCTTTTAGATAATAGAATTTGAAGATTTTGATTGAGTCAAAATTGCATTAATTACTATGCGAATTTCTATTAGTAATTGTGTAATTTGATTGGAAGTTTCAAATAAAAACAAAGTGATGATAACATCTTTCTTTGACTATCTTGAAATATGGCTTATTGGACATTGTTGAAACTCAAGAAGAAACAACGATGTAGTGTGGTTGGGCTTAATTAACTACCCTATCCATGTGCTTAGCACTAATTAAACCCTAATTAATATTTTGATAAGTTCTTAATTACTATACAAGTTTTTGATTGTAGTGCTATTTAAACGATAGCTCTAATTTCCAATAAGAATAAGAGAGAATGAGGATGATTGGAAGTATGGGAGAGATTTGTCGATATAGTTCATTTATTCTAAACCCGTATTGTCTTTTGTGATTGGGCTAAAATGGGCTTTTTCAGGGCCTAGCATGACCTACAAGCAAGGAATTTTTTTTTTTTATTGTAAATAAAGTTGTAATATTAATAAAAATATATAACTTAAAAATATAATTAAGTAAAAACTGTAGGTATGAATAAGCAACTGGCCTATTAGCTCAGTGGGTTAGAGCGTCGTGCTAATAACGCGAAGGTCGCAGGTTCGAAACCTGCATGGGCCAAATTTTTAAATTTTTATTTTTATGGGCTGGGTCAAATTTCATGGGCCGGAGAAACTGAACTGACCGTTGGGCAACGGTCGAAAACACAAATTTAAAAAATTCAAACACAATTTAATAATTTGGAAGTCACCAACGGTCATCTGCTAACCAATCTCTCTGGCTCTCGCTATTCTGCAACTTTCTCCCTCCAAATTTTCTTGCGTCTTTCCTCGCTAAATATTTTCACTCTTTTTTCTTACTAAATTCTGTTTCTCCCTTCAAATTAATCTGCTTCTTCAGATCTTAGGGATTTGATAACTGCCACTGAAGTTACAAAAAAAGTCAAACAAATGGAGGGTTCCAATGGCAAGAGTGTCTCCTCAAAAGCCTTTGTCAATATCAAAACATCTTCAACTAGTAAGTTTGCTTCTCTTTTCCTTCTTGATCTGTTTGTTTGTTGAGAAAATAGTCTGAAAATCAGAGGAATTGAATTAATTGTAAGAACTTTTTGCATTTTTTATTCAAGAAATTTTGTTTCTAATGTATAGGTACAGATGAGAATGATGAAAGTATAAGTTTGCAAAACTCAAAGAAATCAACAACAGCAAAGCATTTTATGTCACCGACTATATCAACAGCTTCAAAAGCCGTTGCTCCAAGAAAGAAAATTTTAGCTGAAAGGAATGAAAATTGTGATACCCATATCCCAAATCCTTTAAGTTTCAGCCTTTGTGATGATTCTTTGTCACTTAGTGATGATTCATCTTTGAAATCTTATGACCCTTCAAAAAATTGTACCTCACCAAGGCCTAAGTTTCTTAGGTATAAGCCTAATAGAAGAAGAGAGATAGTCTTAAGGCATGAAAATAAGGTCAAAGAAATGAAAGAGGATGCTTATTTAGTCTGTGCTTCTCTAGATGTTTTGGTGAAGGATGAAGTTGAAGTTGAAGAAGTAGAAGATGATGATTATGAAGTGGAGTAGGAGGAGGAGGAGGAGGAGGAGAAAGAGGGATTTTTGAGAAGGTTTTTGAAGTTTGTTTTTGTATTTTTTGTTTTGGTGTTATTTACTTTGTATATTTCTTCAATGAACTCTCCAACATCTTCTCATGCTTTTCAAGCTATTGAGGGTCTTAAAGATAAGTGGTATCCTAAGATTCATGATGGTGTATACGAGGCTATGAGGAGTCTTAGGGGTGAAGATAATATCTTGAGAACAATGGAGTTTAAGGATTTTGCGAAGATATTTATGGGTGGTAGTGAGTTTGTGGGAGATAATATGGGTTTAATGAAGTTAAACCAGACTTTTATTAATGAGGGATTTAAAGAAGAAGAGATGGTTGAAGATGTTAACTTTGAAGAAGTGAGTGATAATTTGGGTGAAGTGGTGGAGCTACAGGGTGGAGAGAGTAAAGATTTTGGTGAACTGATAGAACTACAAGCTGGAGGAAGTGAAAACTTAGAGGGTTTTGATCAGATTGTTGAAGATGTTAACTTTGAGAAAGTTGATGAAGTGATTGATAATTTGGGTGAAGTGGAGGAGCTACAGGGTGGACGGAGTAAAGATTTTGGTGAAATGGAAGAGCTACAAGCTAGTGAAAGTGAAATAGTAGAGGGTTTTGATCAGATACTTGAGAATGCTGAGTTGAAAGGGACAGAAGAAAAGGTAGAGAAGCTTGAATCTTTTGAAGATAATCAAGAAAGTGAGGTTGTAATGGAACCGGTTCAAGAAGTTAACAATGTGGTGGCCGGGGGCTCGAAAATGGTTGAAAGTGAACGCATCACTGACATTGAAACTCTCAATTCTGAAGCAGAGAGTAGTTCGAAGGAGGGGCTTATGGAGCAAATTGAAATGATCAGTTTCATGGCTGTGGTGGGTGTTGCTCTACTTTTCGTGGTTAAGGTATCTTTGTTAATGGCTTTTAACCTTACGAAGAGAAATATTAGAAAGGAAACTCCTCCAATCATTAGGCCTTGCAGTAATGAATCTGGGGTAATGGAGAAATGCAACCCAGAAATTCCTAAAGAGAGAGAGGAGCATGCCAAATGTGTCGATTCTTTTTCGAGTGCTATCCCCTTGGTTAATTCCATAGTGGCAGATTCTAAAGATACGAACCAAAGCCGAGGGCCATCGATTGAATTGCTAGCTGAATTTGAGGTGGGGGAGATAAGTTTCTCTCTTAGAAGTTGTGGTATGAAAAAAAGTAGGATTGAAGAAAGTGAAGTGAGCAGCCATTCTGTTCCCTTGGACAAGGAGTTTGGTAATTGCAGCAAGGCTCACTCAGTTTCTAGTCATGAAAATTTCTCTGAGTTCTCTGCCATGAACTCCTTTTCCTATGCATACATTACCCCTGAGAAGAAAATTTCAAAGAAAGAGGTCAGGTTCTATTACAAGCTACCCTTCAATTTTTGTTACTTGTCTAGATAATTAACTAGTTTCCATTAACAGTTGTTTTGTTTTGCTTCATAGAATCATTACTTAATCCCATACTTAAAAGTTTTTTTGATTTAGTATAGTTTTATAGTTCTAGATTACTTCTGATTAGTGCTATGATTTAGTCCCTTGAAGCTTTTGTAATGGTTAAATCAATTTGGACTTTTGTTGTGTATGTTATAACAGGATGTTCGAGATGGGGAGGCAAAGAAGGTGGTTATAACTCCAGTGAGGAGATCAAGCAGACTCCGAAACCGCGCAATCACATCTCCATGAATGCTTCTCACTTGCAGCCATAAGAAACAGCACTCTCTGTTGTTTCCATATTAAAGCCTGTTTCCACTGAGAATCATTGCAGAAAATGCTGACTTACTTTGTAGGAGCTGATCAATATTGTAGCTTATCCAAACTTACGTTGCCTATCAAGATAATGATAATCAATTAATCCCCAATTCCTTTTATTTCCCCTTTTTACTATTCTCTTTTGTTTTGCTTTTTGTGCATATTTGTCATCTATCAGAAGTTGGAATGATTAGCATAAGCTAATACTGAAGTTGGATTGGTTATCAAAGCACCAATGATATTGTATATATTGAATGTTTGTGGGTGAAGTGGATTCCATGATCAAGCAGATAATGTTGAAAAGAGATGACAATGTTAAAAGTATTGAGACAAGGTGGAAGACAACATTGTTTAAGGTGTTATTTAAAGCTAAAAAGAACATGGATTTTGGGTGTGCTTTTATTAAATTCCATATGCTAGAACACAGTTTCAGGTGTTATTTAATAAAGTTGATATTGGGGAACATGGTTTTTGGAAATGCTCTCTGATTCATATTTGCTTTAAATCCTATATTATCTTGAAAAACAAGATTATTACTCATTCCCCTTTCTTTCCAAGTGCTTGATTGACTTTTTGGGTGGCTAAATATTTCTTAAATTATCCTAGGATAAATTAATGATCACATTAAAGAATTCTAAATTGAATTAATTCAATGATACTATGAACTTTTCTCTTAAAAAACAATTTTTTTCTTTTGTAACCAAGGTATTCGGGCCAATTTACGTATACTTCTATCGACTAATCTTTGGGAGAGACTAGCACAACAACCTACCGTTACGGTCCCCAACTTAAATTGCGGATGCTCAGACGGAGAATTGAACTTGAGACTATGCGTCTATCTACACTATTTCCAATTCGCCTTAACCATCCAGGCTAACCAAGGATGGGTATTTTGCCTTTTTGACTTCTATCTATTGAAGCCATTTCAAGATAATAGATAAACATTATAACACCAAGATCAAAATATCCTCCATCAAATATGCTTCAAATGATTGAAGGGAGCCCGTATATGGCATGACATATTTTATTATAGCTTGGATTTGAGAACCATATGACATAAATAGAAAATTCCTTGACCACAGAATTGGATGCCTTAAACTTTAGAGTATTAAAACATGGTAAGAATAACTATAGGTTTTTGTACATGAGTGGATTACTTATTTAATTTGGAAAGATAAGAGTGGATAATAATCAATATTCTAGCTTTAGCAAAGCCTGGATATGTTCAAAGATTTTAGAGCCATTAAATATATTTAGAATCTTTCCTTTTCCCTTTCATGATAGGATATTCTCATAAACTATCAGAAACCTTTATCAGAAAATTTGTAACACTCATAACATTAATTGCTCTCAAATATTTGTGTATATGGTGAATCAAATCATTCAACTGGGATTGGTTTGATAAGTTTACAGATCACAATAATCAAAAGTGCTTTTGTACAGGAGCTGGAGGAGGCCTACTATTAGCTAGAAAGGAGATTCTTCTACCAGGAAAAGATAAAGAAGAATAAGAACTTCTTGAAGATTTCTTTGATATGGTGGCCTTTGGATCAAGAACATATGATTTATGACTATCCAATCCACCGGCATAACTTTTACATGTCTTCATTTTCTTTCTGTAAGGACTCTCTTTCTTTGCCAAGTCTTCTATGCTCTTCACTCTGGACAGAGATGTGAAAGACTGTGACTTCCCTTGGAAAAATTTAGAAAGCCCTCTCCTGCATATACAAAACAATCACTCTTTAGCATAAATAGTTCTTTTAAAACTTTTTCAAGCGTCAAACTATGAACTAAACCTAAGCAGGTATCACCTCTTGTATAATCCCTATGGATCTAACCAGTTGAACTAATTAGTGCCTACGAAAAGGGTTTATATATATAATTCAAGAACACATAAATGAGCTAGAGAACTGTTTAGATTACTTACTTGATGGGGAGTTGAGCCATGAGGTCTGAGAATTCAAACAAAGGTCCATTATTAGAATTTGAAGAAGAGTTTGAAGAAGAAGCATCATCAACCAAGTCCGAAGAAGATGTTGATCCATGGGAATTAGTTATACTTGAATCTCCAAGGGATGAAGAAGAAGAAGAAGAAGACATGTTAGTGTAGGCATCTTCATGATCATCATCATCTCTATGCATGATCATCCAATTATGATCTTCTTGTTTTGCAATTGCATGCTTCTTCTTGTTATTATTATTATCATCATCATGCAGCCCTATGAAGCATGGAGCTTGCAGCAAATTTTGCTCACCTTTGGAAGCCATTAATGGAGCATCAAAAAATGAAATGATACCTTGAGAAGAAAGAAGGGTTTTTTGAAGATCATTAACACATATAGGACTTTTGTTGGAGTTCATTGAGTTATATATACACAAGAAAATGATATGCATAAAGTGTACATGGATTAGGTTGGTCATTTTCTAAGGAAATGCTTCCATCACACCTTAACACATGGAGTTTCCATGCTTTTTGACAGGATGTGTCACCGCCCACCACATGTAACATGGAGTCTTTGTGATATAATAAGGTAGACTATTCAATTAATTAATACATTTAACAAGCTTTAATTTCCACAATTTTTTTTGTTTTGATGACCAGAGTGTTCGGCTCAGTTTATACGTATCTTGATTAATTCTTGGAGTCCATTGAATACCCTACAAGCTTAATGTTTCAAGATAAACAACAAATATGATATGTAACCCCCAAAGTTCGAATTTAAGAAGTCAATGAAAGAAGCAAATCTCTTGACCGTCAGGCCAACCATTTGGGGTTAATTTTTACAATATTTATAACTAATATCCTTTGTCTAATACAATTAAAAATCTTTCCAAACAGTTAAAAAATTTTGTTTCCTCTGGGTTGGCATCATTTTAACATTTCAAACAATCTTAATTATACATAGATATTAATTATGTTCAACCAGTACTATATGTTCGAAATGAGAGTTTAAATTTCTTATTTCAAATAATGTATCATCTTATACAACGTAAATATATCACTAATTAGATCAAATTTACGTGTCAATAAAATATTTAAATGTCATAAAAATTCTTAAAATTCAACAAAGATAAAAGTATAAGAGCATCCTAATTGGTACATGTGGTGATGTGGGTAGAATAGAAAATTGATGCATTTAAGGAGGTCCCTTTCAAATAGAGTAATCTTTTAGCCATATTTAAATGATGGCCTTATCCTAGAGATTCGACATTATCTTCATGGTTGCTTGACCTTTGCGTTGCGTTTGTACTAAAACAAAAGGATAAGCTCTATAGCTTTGAAGTTTGAAGCCATCCATTTTGAGTCACCATCTATTACCCACACATCACCCTTCTTCTTTTTATTTTTTAATTTTAATTTTAATTTTAAATAAAATGATCATCACCTTCTTTTGTCAAAATCTTATCAAATACTTCTTCTACATTTCAACTATTGGTATAGACAGAATATTTTGTTGTCCATATAATAATACCAACCCCCTTAGATTATTATATTCATCCAATAACATTTTCTTCACGTAATATATTGAGGATGTATTCTTATGGAAAATAAAAAAGGTAAATGATATTTAAAGATGGATATAATTAATATGTAAGGATGTACGTTGATAAATTTACAAAAAAAAAAAAAAAAATGTGGGGTCAACATTGTAAATATTATAAAATATAAAACATTTGCAATTTTTTTGATTTTTTTGGAAGTTTGAGTGGGTTCAATATGAAATTAAATGGGTCAAAATTGTTTAAATACTATAAAATATAAACCCTTTTTCTATTTTAAAAATTTGAGTGGGTTCAATTGAACCTATATGCTATAGTGTGGTTACGTTCTTGTGAATATGTATGTTAATACTTTGAGCCTAGATCAAGAAGTTAATGACTGGACGCTCACCTTTGATTGATATTCACAAGAGTTGTTGTTGGTTTTTTTTTTATATTTTTTTTTTATGATCAGGGGTGTTCGGCACGGTTAACCGCTTTCTTGAAACGAACCGGTTTTTCGGTTAAGGAATTTTCCTGAACTGAAACCGAACCGGTTTGGGGGAAAAATCGGTTTTTCTATTAACCGAAAAACCAATTAACTACTTTGAAAAAACCGATGAATCGGTTTTGAACGGTTTTCCCCTTTTTATTGGATAAAACTTTTTTTTTTAATTTTTCATAAATTAAATTGCAAACATCAACAATACATATCCAAATAAAATTAATCATTCATATATATCCATTGACAACAACTAACAATACCTTAAAAATTGATATAAATAAAAGTCCGAAATTAAACAAAAATAAAAGTCCGTAATGAAACGTCCATAATAAAACAACAAAATAACTAAATAAGTCCCAATGGAAAACAACAAAAGAAATTGTGCAAATTTAGGGATTAAGATTATTATTATTATTATTTATTATATATATATATATATTTAGTAAACCGGTTCAAAAAACCAGTTTCGGTTAACCGGTTTTCATTTTTACCTGAACCGAAGACCGAACCTAAAATCCATTTTTTTAAATTCTTTAAACCGTAACCGAACTGTTTTTTTGGTTTGGTTACTGGTTTGGTTTTTGCATTTTTTTTCAACACCCCTAGTGTTCGGGTTAGCTTATGCGCACCTCAAATAATCCCCCAAGACCCTAAAACTATCGGCTGGGTGAGAGCTTCAGTGACTACCATTATTAGCACATAATGAGGGATTCGAATTCATGACCTCTTGAGTAATACACCCAAAAAATCCCTATCAAACTAGTCGGCCACTCAGAGGTAGTTTATTCACACAAGGGCTTGATTAATATATAAATATATTACATTATAAATTAGTAAAGTAAAATTAAACTAAATCTATAAGGATACGCTGATAGCTTGAGCGTGTAATATTTTGTCACTTTAGATTATTATAAGAACAGAATTTGGGTAATCTACCTGAACAAGAATCCTACGAAAAATCTCATGTATTTGTTTTGAACATTGATCAAGCATGAATTTTTCCTCCTTTTGGCCTTTGGTTCAAACATTATTTATTGCTAATTGATGACTTATATTAAAGGGTTACCCATAGTAGGAAGATTATGAAGAGTTTTTCAAAATAGAACATCAATATAAATGTCAATATCAATATCAATGAGCATTATCCTTCAACAAGAAAATGAAAATTTTCTCCATTATCAAGTTCCCTAATGGGAAACATGATGGTCAAAAGTTGATACTCCATTATCTTCAATTCCTTAATTCTTTAGATAATTATTTGTCTAATCCAAGGTTTCAAAATTTCTCAACTGAGGATAAGGATGCAAGTTGACTTGGGTTCAGCCCACCATGCCCAAAATACAAAAGCAAAGAAAAAGGTTTGGTATAAGTCTCTAAAGAGTAATCGACTTTTTCCCACCCAAGGTTTGCCTTAATACATTTTCCCACCCAAAAAGTTTTAAAATATCACTTTTTCACCCAAAGTTTATATTTTATTAATACCCAAAGCTGATTCCGATGGCGAAAATACTTTTCTTTGCCACCATTTGAACCTTTGGTTTCTTTTCTGCAAAACTTGTCTCACTCTAGCATCTGAGTTCTTATTGATTGCTAGTCACTGCAAAACTAGCATTTACTGTTTTTAGCTGATTTCTAACTGATTCTAGTGGTGAATATTCGATTTGTTACCATCATTCGATCCACTGTCTTCCATTTTACAAAACCTTTTTTACCCTGGCTCCTAGTAACTTGTTGAATGTCAGTTGAAAAAATGAAGTGTATTTTAGGTATTAACAAAAATTAAACTTTGGGTGAGAAAGTGATATTTTAAAACTTTTTTAGTGGAAAAAGTCTTTTAAGGCAAACCTTGGGTGGGAAAAGGTTGTTTACGCTTAATCTAAAATGCAGAATTCGATGGACACACTAACCACCACAAGTTCACATGATATTTAAAGACGGACCTCTTATTTATGGCCACATATTAAAACCCTTAATTTTATCATACCGAAAATTAAATAATATTCAATGAAAGAGACTTTGCTTTATGTTGAATATTGATTGGATCAAGTCAAAATATCATCTCAAATTGATTGTATCTAATTTGCCACCACGGAGAATACAATGGGCAAAAAATTGGGTTATATAATATAATAAAAAATAAATCATAAAATGTCCATAATATTTTTTTAATTCATAGTAAATAATAAATAGAGTTGATAATGAATCCAATTCAATGAAATTAGGATTAGGGTTTAACCTTAAAAACTAATAAATGGATTGGAAGCCCAAAATCTGGCCCATTATGGGCCTTCTCATATTTCCCTTTCACTGTAACCTTACTTCAACCTCACAATGGAGTAACGTTGATTTTATTCATCATTATCATGGTCAATTAAACATCGGTGCTGTTCCTTTTAATATATAGTAACCGTCAAGTAATGTCTCCTTCACTTCCCGGTAAGTTACGTCTACTTACCGTACTGTTTACTAACTTCGTTAAGCTGTCACCGCTAACTAACTTTGATTTCTGTTACCATTTATTAATGTCTCTAAGACCATCTCTGACCCATTGCACTAATTTGATGTAATTTTATATTAAATTGATGTAAATTTTGGTGTAAAATACTATTCTATCTCTAACCCACAACACCAAATATTACATCAAGAAAAATATTCCTTAACATATTCTTTTTTTCTTTTATTGTAATAATCAACAATTAATCTATTTTACTTATTATTTTTGTACATATTAATTAAATATTGAGAATGATATTTTTATTAAATAATAATTATTTTGAAAATTATACTAATTTAATAAAATTAAGTATTTATTTAATCAAATAAATATTATATTTAATATAGAAAAACATTACATATAATCTAAAATGATAAAAAAAAAAAAAAAAACAACAACAACACAAAAGTAAACTTTCATATTGATAGTAATTTAATTTTCCGAATTAGTATGTTCTTCCCACAAATGATCAATTAATGCATTTCGAAGAGTATAGTGAGCCTCTGTATCCTTGATTTGTTTATGTCGAGCAAGAAAATTTTGAAATCGGACATTCTCATCTGCGACAATTTCAACTTCAGGAGTTGGCGCTTCCATCTAATTCTCAATCGATGCATCAACATTACGTTTATCCTGGATCCGGAATTAATCTACCGGAATACTAAATTGTTATTTTAGTTTATGTTGTATTTTTTTTAATTTTAATGTTTTTAAATTAGTGTTAATTTTTTTTTGAGTTATTGTAGTTTAATATTTGCATTGAATAAAGTCTATTTTTAATTTTTCATCATTTTTTGAATTATACATTATTATGAATTTATTATATAATAATAATCAAATTAAATTAAATACAAATAATCAAATTTGGTATAAATTTAATACCCAAATTAACTTAACAAAAATAAAAAAAAAAAAATTATTCCGCTATAATACCACGCCATGGTGAAGTAACATAAACGATAAATAGAAATATTTTTAACGGCTTAGGGCATCTCCAACCCACGCTAAAGCGCCCCACCATTTTGGCGTGGCACTACAGTGCTGCACCAAAATGACGTGACGCCAAAATGACGTGAGGCCTTGGAGTAGGTTGGAGCATCAACCCACGCCATTTTGGTGTAAAAACACCAAATGGCGTGGGTTGGAGATGCCCTAAGCCGTTAAATATTCTATTTATTGTTATGTTACTTCACCGTTAGTTGACTAATATTACTTCGCCATTATATTATTTCACCGTCAACGCCAACTTACTGCACCGTTACAAGGTCACGCACAATCCAAATGCAGTTTCATTGTTTAAAAATAGAACTTATATTATGATGTTTTTCAATTTTATTGTTTTGATTTTTTTTTCCTAAATTTTCTAAGAAGACATATAAATAATAATAAATTTATCATTATATTCAGAGTTCAGCTGACAACCATTAGTTTGGGTTGTTTGATTACTTATTTCTGCAAACATTATTTATAATCAAATATTTTATTTTATTTTCAATAAAAAATTTCACATCCAAATCCAGTAATAAAACAGACCAAGCAATCCAGCCTACATTAATGACTCAAAAATAATTCTCACCATATAATAATATCAGCAATATCCAGACACTCGAATACTTCAAAGTTCAAACTGCAATACACATAAATTACGGACACATGGAGGATTTGAGTAGAAAAAATTATAAAAAAAAAAAAAAAAAAAACCTAAAAAACCAAAAAGAATCACTCTTGTCCCCACACACTTATTTATCGAGCAACAATTATAGTGCCATTTCATCACCGCAATATGGAAGAAGAGGCAAACCCAGAAACCAAATAGCAATATATGGAAACCTTATGGAGTTGTCTTGGGGGGATCTACAGGCCTTGATCAATGAGGTAATCTCCCAACCTCTCAACGATCATGTTACACTGTCCTGGAGTCAATGGTTCATCGTATATCCCAAATATCAGAGCTTGAGCGGTTTTCTTCACAGTGATACCACCAGGTCCCTGCAAAATGAATGATGGAAGATTATGAATAACATCTTCAATGATTCTGGAGTTAAAATTACTGATCACAGTAAAACAATATGTCCAAATTGTTTCTTAGTTCTCAATTATCCACAATAAGATAATGTTATGATTCTTTTTTTGATGTGATTGAAAGGACGCCATCCATAAGAAATCTAGTTTGAAGGAAACTTAGGATTCAATCCTCACTGGTTAGATGGGTCCAGCCACATGGAGAAGCTGAAAGGCAGAGACTGAATGTTCATATTTCATCATCGAAGGGCAAATGAAAAGGATCTTAGAACATAATTAGGTCTATCAAGTGTACCCACAAAAAGAAATGAATGATTTATCTCTTCGTACAATAAAGGATATTAAAAGGAAAAGCATAGGCAATCTATCTGTCATCCATTTGATTTGTGTTCTCGGATGCCAAGTAACTTTCATCAATAAGGACTATGAAAATCTGTCCAAATGCAATTAAGGCTCCTAAAGGAGGTCCCACAGTCATACCCATGGAAACTTTATTATTGTTTTTTCAAAAACATGCCTGGTCCTAAAGTATACGATCCACAACAATAAAGTCTTAAATTAGTAGTTAAAATTTCATGAAAGCATCAAATTGGACAGCGTGAGATTCTAACAACTGTATAATTCAAAAATTGCAACAGGTATATGACTATCATATTTGACAATTGTAAACATATAAAACTTTATCAGAAATTTCATACCACATCTATGATAAATCCTTGAGCATTAGGTGATTGTCTAATAATGAAACAAATAATAGCACAATAAAACGAACCTTCTTTCCACGAATCACAGCGCCAGGCTCACCCTGGATAACCATGTACTTAGTGCCACCTAGGTGCAGCCCGGTCGGGGCAAGAGAACCAGGTTCATCAAAATCTTTATTGATAGCAGTGATCTCTTCAGGCTTGAACTGCAGACAACCCAGCAAACAATCAAAACCTAAAATAACACTCACGTTTAGCAATATATTAAACCCGAAAAACAGGCTTCTATCACAGTCACTTCCTGACTCAAGACTAAAATTGAATCACAATCTGATCATCATAAAATCACAAGTTTTCCTCAGCATTCGTCAGACTGCTGTATAGTGTATACCAGATATTAGTGGATCCAGAAATTTCTGTTAGGGTGAGTCAAAATAAAAACTAATTATATATTAATATTTTTGTCCATTAATATTTTTGTTAAGATGGGTTAAAATCTAAAAATTATATATAGTAGTATTTAAAAAAAAAAAAAAAAAAATTTGAGAGTGGGCCACTAGCCTGGATCCGCCCCTGATACCAGCTAACATAATATAATAAATTAACGTACATTTTAACATCATTTCAATTTTCAACAGAACAACCATCACATATGCACATATCAATTTATTTTCAAACGGTTCAATCATTTGTTTTAAGCCTTTAAAAACTTTCATTTCTTACGATCAGATACAATAACTTTACAAGTAAATTCTCATGAAACGTAAACGCTAATAAAAAATTAGCACAAATTACGCGATTTAAATACATAAATATATATCATCAAGCATTGTCAGCATGATTTTTTTTTTTTTTTTAAAAATCCAAATAAAATATTAATAAGCCAAATAAACAGATCCTCTAATATATTTAAAAGAAAACTGAACCTATCAGATCCAGTCAGTGTAAAGTAATTAATTAATAAATTAAGAAAATCAAATAATTCAAACAAAACAGATCGAAACAGAGAGAATCTAAGACCTTAGGGAAGTTGGCGCTCTGCGCCCAAACGCTGCCGTCGAGGCCGATGATCGCGGCGGAGGTGAGATGCTGGCCTTCGATATCGCACATTAGATGCTCATCAACGTACGTTTGCCAAGACATTTTTACCGATCAAATCCTCACAGTTGGATCAAGCTTTGTTTTTTCTTGGGAAATTTTTTCCGGTTTCGTTGTTTGTTTGAGTTGTTTCCGTTCGAAGGAGAGAGGTATTTATAGTTATTTTTGTGTGTGTTTGGTGGGGTCCAGTGACGGATTATGAGTGATGATGGTGGTGATGTAATCTTAACCGTACATTATAACATGATTGAATGAGTGCCGTTCACGTTCGGCCTTCGTTTAAGGGGAAAAACAAAAGTGAACACGTGGTCGTAAATATTCAGTTTATATGTTACAATTGAGGAATTATCAGATGCTTCGATCTTATATTCCATTTGTGAAACCAAAACCATCTTACTATCCACCCGTGAGTCCGTGACCCGTACTTTAAATAAAATCACTATTGAAGATGAGTTCTTATATCTCTTTAATAGTTTTTTTTTTTTTTTTTTTTGACTCGAAATGTCAATACAAAATTATAGCATAGGTGTTGTTAATAAAAGTAAATTTAACTTGTATAAAAATTAATTATGAAATGATAAATTTGTAGTATCAACATTATATTTATAATATTAGATAGCACATCTTTTTTTAACCAAGGTATCTGCACCAGTTTACGTATATTTCAACTAATCTTTAAAGGAGTCTAATACAATAACCTATCGTTACAACCCTCTACTTATATCGTCGATACTCAAATGGAGAATAAAACCTGAGACTGTATACCTATACATACTATCCTCAATTTGTCCTAACCATATGAACTACCCACTGATGGATAGATGGAACATTAACATTAACGAAATTTATTTCCATTCTCATAACCTTGCATCGTAAATTGATGGACTTACCTCTTGTAACAATTGCTACTTTGATATGATATTCAATATGACAACATTCAACGAAAAATTAAGTCGTTGAAACTTACAAACCTATCGTTTAATATTACAAGTTCATCGTTGCTATATATATATATATATATATATATATCGACATCAGCGTAAAAAAAGGCAATAAACTGCATGAATTTTACGCATACTGATAATACGCAAGCTCTGAACTAAGGCCATGATTCAATTTGCTAGACCGTAAATTTGAAGAATAATGTAAAAATCCTCCTACTCAAAGCATTAAGCTTTTACCAAAATTTCTTGCAGTAAATTTACAAGGTGGCTGTGACAAAACAAGCCACATCATTCTATCTGCAGAATTTGCAGCAAGAGAGATGGTTGGAGGATCAGGGCAGGCAAAAATTTACCACATAGCAGTTAGTATGTTGCTTCATCTGCAAGATCATAAAACTCTTAGCACCTGAAGTTGCCAGATTCTAAAATGCATGTAGCAACTCAGTGTGCCATTGAAGAGAAGACACTTACCATCGTTCCCATCGTCCATGTTAAAATCATCTTCATCGTCATCAAAATCAACATTCTGCAAGGATGTAAGAGCATTAGATATTCTTATTTTCCTAGGGTACAAGTGAGTGAGGAAGCAATGTCCCATATGAACAAGAAGAAAAATCCAAAGTTCTTAAGGAGACCTGATTATAATCTCCATCATCACTGAATTCTTCATCAGCTTCTCCGGCTGCTTCTTCATCATCTTCGTCCTCGTCCTTGTCTTCGCCTTCTTTCTTTTCCTTTTCATCTTTTTCCTCTTCACCCTAAAGAAAATGAATAAATCACCAACATGGACTTAGAGAAAAGGTCATATACCTCCTTTAGGGAAAAAAAATCGATAGAAGAGATATAAGCTTTTCTAATGAGTTTTTCACAAAACTATTGCGCAAGCCACAAGAAACAATTGAACAAATAATTGGCAGAAAAGTTATTGATGCTAGGAAAGTTTACCTTATTTTTCTGTTCAAGTTTTTCAAAGAGATCTAACCTCTGCAGGCCTGTCATATGAACAGCTAAATCAGTTTAACTAGATCTTTGAAGGCTTAAGATTGTAAGACAGTGTTGATAACAAACAATGCATTTCTAGTTTTGATTCAAGAAAGGAAAAAGAATGAGAAGATTCAATTTATCATTATGACAAGGAATTTCTCATTGGCAAAAAAAGATCTCAAGGACACTTAGTAATTGGGAAACCCCACCGAGGTACACCAGTCTATTGAATCGTATGTGATGAACACATAACACCAATTTCTACTTAAGAAATAATAGGTACCGTTACTGCTGTCTGTGGATTTGAAAATACTTTTCCAGTCCATCTAAACATAGACACTCGGTGAAAAACAAGTTATGAGCTTCAGAAATGAAGTCAACAATACGAGTTCTTAACATACAAAACACGAGATATGGTAGAATACAGATGGCTTGGTAATAGTATCCAAAATATTAATACAAAAACGATCTGATGACTGCAAATCTAGAACTCTGATGTGAGTTATTCTTATATTAGTTTACTCAATAATGTTTTTAAGATTAATAATTGAGACANACTGCATGAATTTTACGCATACTGATAATACGCAAGCTCTGAACTAAGGCCATGATTCAATTTGCTAGACCGTAAATTTGAAGAATAATGTAAAAATCCTCCTACTCAAAGCATTAAGCTTTTACCAAAATTTCTTGCAGTAAATTTACAAGGTGGCTGTGACAAAACAAGCCACATCATTCTTTCTGCAGAATTTGCAGCTAGAAGAGATGGTTGGAAGATCAGGGCAGGCAAAAATTTACCACATAGCAGTTAGTATGTTGCTTCATCTGCAAGATCAGAAAACTCTTAACACCTGAAGTTGCCAGGTTCTAAAATGCATGTAGCAACTCAGGGTCCCATTGAAGAGAAGACACTTACCATCATTCCCATCGTCCATGTTAAAATCATCTTCATCGTCATCAAAATCAACATTCTGCAAGGATGTAAGAGCATTAGATATTCTTATTTTCCTAGGGTACAAGTGAGTGAGGAAGCAATGTCCCATATGAACAAGAAGAAAAATCCAAAGTTCTTAAGGAGACCTGATTATAATCTCCATCATCACTGAATTCTTCATCAGCTTCTCCGGCTGCTTCTTCATCATCTTCGTCCTCGTCCTTGTCTTCGCCTTCTTTCTTTTCCTTTTCATCTTTTTCCTCTTCACCCTAAAGAAAATGAATAAATCACCAACATGGACTTAGAGAAAAGGTCATATACCTCCTTTAGGGAAAAAAAATCGATAGAAGAGATATAAGCTTTTCTAATGAGTTTTTCACAAAACTATTGCGCAAGCCACAAGAAACAATTGAACAAATAATTGGCAGAAAAGTTATTGATGCTAGGAAAGTTTACCTTATTTTTCTGTTCAAGTTTTTCAAAGAGATCTAACCTCTGCAGGCCTGTCATATGAACAGCTAAGTCAGTTTAACTAGATCTTTGAAGGCTTAAGATTATAAGACAGTGTTGATAACAAACAATGCATTTCTAGTTTTGATTCAAGAAAGGAAAAAGAATGAGAAGATTCAATTTATCATTATGACAAGGAATTTCTCATTGGAAAAAAAAGATCTCAAGGACACTTAGTAATTGGGAAACCCCACCGAGGTACACCAGTCTATTGAATCGTATGTCATGAACACATAACACCAATTTCTACTTAAGAAATAATAGGTACTGTTACTGCTGTCTGTGGATTTGAAAATACTTTTCCAGTCCATCTAAACATAGACACTCGGTGAAAAACAAGTTATGAGCTTCAGAAATGAAGTCAACAATACGAGTTCTTAACGTACAAAACACGAGATATGGTAGAATACAGATGGCTTGGTAATAGTATCCAAAATATTAATACAAAGACGATCTGATGACTGCAAATCTAGAACTCTGATGTGAGTTATTCTTATATTAATTTACTCAATAATGTTTTTAAGATTAATAATTGAGACAGCCAACAATCACAACTACTATTAGCTGATTTTCAATATCTATCCTACTGTGTGTACAACCTGCAGTTATAGTAGATCAAATGGCTCTTGCACAAAAGAAAATTTCAAATCTGAATTCTCGCCTAACCAGTAAAGATGCATTGGACATATGACATAGAGATACACCTTTTTGAAACAAAATAAAAAAAAGGAAAAAAAAATTGAAGCTAAGCGTTTTATCTCTTCAAACCTGCATCTGTCTTCCATCGCACTCTTTTTGAGCTCCGCTGTCCCCTTGAACCTAAAATTTCATTGCACCATCAGATAAATCTCTAAAGTTATTCTCATGAATACTACAATATTTTCACAAATCATAGATTGCCAACCTTTGATCAGTTCTTGAGGAAAATTATTTGCTGTGAGCTGTAGAATTTGGTCAATTGAATCACGAGTTGTTGAGGTCCTTGGCTTATTCAAGTCAGAAAATCTTTCTATGTCCATGCTTTGGCTATCTGATATCGCACATCATGAAAAAAGTAAAATTGCAACAAGTTAATACAAAAGTTTAATGCGAGTAACTAGATATCTTGCAAATTTACTAATACAGACTTGCATGTCAGAAACTAGACAACAAAATCTACAGGATTGAACTAAACAATATACTATATGAATATTGTAAGAGAAGAAAAGTGACAAAAACAGCAGCAAGTATAACAAGTAAGGTTTCCAATCAGTCAAAATAAGTAACCAAAATCAGTGCATAATTTTGTGGAATAAAGCCAATTTCAGCACGGTGAGACAACTACTGATATGGTCTCTTCTGAATTGCATACAAATATAGCTCTGTGCACATTCGTAGCAGAAGTAGAATATCCAATGCCTAAACATCTTTCCTCAAATTGAGCCCAGAACATCATTTCTGTTACTACTTCACTTGCTGCTTCTTCTGAACAAGTCTCAGTTTACAGAAAAAGTAGCGAAGAAGACAGACACAAACCACTCACACAGGACATATAGATGACATCAAGAAAAACAGGCTGGGAAGAAATTTCTCAAAGCAATTTTCTTCAATTGGAACACCTGGGGCCTTTATGATTATCAATGCCTACAGTATTGTGGGTTGAGGCAAAAGGCATAAGCTATTAGCATTACCTGCCCATGCATTGAAATGCTGATGGCAATGACAACATAATGGTGGTTATAGTAGGTGATAAAAAAATCTAGTTGCAATAACTTATTATCCAAAACTTTAAACAATTACCACCTATTTATTTATTTAAACAAAATGCTTCTTTGATCAAGCTCTCAGACTATCCCGGACAGCAATGTACAATTAGCACAAAAAATCAGCTATGTTAGAATAGGATCTTCCTCTACGACTTTGCTACTTCATTTCGATGAAAAATTAAGAACCGTGCTATTGATATTGAATTCCCACTTATATTTTTCTTTCTTTTTCCTTATTAGTTTCTCAGCTTTATTAGTCATAAAACATGAAAAAAACAGTACTTGAATAACTTAATACTCACTCTTTTCAACATTTTCTTCAAGATAGTAAGGAGAAGACTTCCAATAATTCAGCAGCCTTGAATTCCAAATGATTAAGTTCTTGTCCACTGGCACATTTTTGCTATTAGGTAATTCAATATCCTGCATTGCACAATGAAAATTTTCACTTAAAATTTAATTAAGTCAAGAAAATAATTAAAAAAAGAAAAAAGAAAAGAAAGAATGAGATTTATACTAACAGGAAAGAGTTCAAAAACTTCTTGTTTAGCATAGCTAAAGCCACCACCTCCAAACCCGCGACCACGTCCACGCCCTCTATAAGCCATCTAAAAGACAAAAAAAAAAAAAAAAAGTTAGATTTATTTGTTTTATTTGTTTCACAAGCAAATTTAAGGCCTTTAAATATGCTAAAAAATTGGTATAAATCACTCATCAACTTATAATTTCTTTAACATAAAAAGAAAAAAAAAAAAATGTAAAAACGAAAAGGGGTTGAAGGAAATCAACTCAATAAGTGGATTTTGATTCTTTATCAAACACTGACAGTCAGCCACTGTAATGAGGGTATTTACTCAGACATACATCAGAACACTGAGCTCAACTATTTTCAAAAAATGGCACTTAACCTTTTCAAATTGATGGACTAGTGCGATTTAACTCTTGAAATGAAATCTTAAATATAATTAATTCTTTACCCTGTTACGTGAGTAAAACAAAAATAAGTTAACAATCTGAATCAAAACGCATTAGGAATCTAACACAAGCAATAAAAATTTCAAGTTATAAACTAACAAAAATGAAACTACAAATCTAAATAAAAATTACTTTACTAGTTTAGATTAAAAACACAGAACAATAAAAGAAAATTATATCAAATCACTGTGATTAACAACATGACATAAAACAACAAGAAAATATCAAAATCAGAAACTAATGCAAGATAAGAAAAAAACCACCACATAATACAATCAAACAGAGGACAAAACAAATATTTAAGATAAAAAGCCACCACAATCTTCACCTATGGAATCGCTGGTCTACTCCTCGTTGGAGCTGGCCGTCACCAGAGCTGGGTTTCTAGATTTGGTCCTGATTTTTGTAATTGTGCTCGGCAAGCTAAACTACTTTGGGTTTTGGAATTAAAGAAGATGGTAATGTATTGGCTAGATTTTTATTTATTTATTTTATTTTAGTTGTTCTTCATATGGGGTTTTTCTTCGCCCTTCAAATAGCTAGACTTCACTAACTTCTGTCAATTTAAGCGGGGTAACTTTTATCAATTGATCACAATAAATAGCTAATTTAAACAAGCGCGCTGCATTCACCATTTTATCTACTTCAAAACTACCACAATACCAGTATAATCCCATAAAAGCACAACGGCAACAAACTCTTCTCAGATATGACATTTGAAAAACAATTACCATTATCAATTATCAATACTTGATTAAAGCAATGATTTCTAACTGGGCACCAAGCTTCTCCAGAAGTGCTTCTCACTTGTACAAACCCACTCTAAGATTCTACCGAAGTAATTAAGTCAGCTTTCAGAAACCAACTCCATTGAGACATTTTATCAAACAGTTATTGTGGCCCAATTAACTTTTAACATAGACGGAATAAACTCAGATGTTTTCTACCCGATTATAAGTATAAACCTAGGCATTATCCATATACCTAATGAAAATGCAAACTCATACCTAAAAGCCTTGGAAACTGGGAAACCGTAAAAGATGAGAGCCAAATGACAAATTGCTGTTGCCCGGTGCCCAGTTTCAGCGACGGCGGCTTGCGACGTCTGCGGTGGTTTCAACAGCGGCCTGAGCCGAACATTTTGCGGCGTATTTATTTACTAAACTGATTAAATTTATTTATTTTTATATAATATAGCTTTTAGTATAAGTTCAGGTGGGTGGGTTGGACCATATGGGTAGCCCAAACGAGTTAAAACTTAAAAACCTCCGTGAACCCAACTCAATACCCCACTTATTTTGTTTTAATTAATTAATTAATTTATTTTATTTTATCACCAGGAGGATTCAAACCAGTTTACATATATTTTAACTAATTTTTAGGATCCTATAATAGATAGTCAGGTAAGAGTCTTAATAGCCACCCCTATTAGTGCTTGGAGAGATTCCAATTTAAAAACTCATAGAACTTTCTTTTCTTTTTTACCATCAGATCAATTAGTACTGTTCTTAATATCCCACGTATGTGTAACAAAAAAGAGGGAAACTCAGTTCAATTTCAAAAATATTTTTATTTCAGAATCTTAACAAAATACAAAGTGAATAGTGAAATCTCCTTCTTATTTACATTATTAGTGATTATCACATGATCAACTATACTTAATTCTTTTTTGCTTCACTAATGGATTCTTAATTACAAATAGATTAATTATACATATTAATATTCAGTCTTGGTGAAATAAAAAAAAAAAAATATATATATATATAACCCATACATATTAAACTCTTCATTATTATAAAAAATGTAATTTTCCTTTCTATTGATAATAATAAAATTGAATAGATGATCAAACAAAGCATAGCATATATGTATCTAACCGGGAGAACAACAATAATGCGGATTTTGACTTTCAGAATCAGCTAGAATTTGGCTGGAAAAATCAAGATATATGTGAGTCACAAGTCACAACCGATGAATAGGAGGCTACCAAGTGTCGGGGTTAGAAGGGTTTTATAGAGTGGAGGTAGGTGGTTCAGGTGGTGGTATCAGATTGAATTGTGGCCGTCGAAATCAGTCAAAATTTGGTCGGGAAAAACAAAAACCTAATTGTTGTAAGGGTGTATTTGCTGGATTTCAAACCTATAGGGATTGATATTTATCAGGGTTGCATTTGTTAAGATTTTAAACTTATTGGATCATGGGGACATTGGGAAGTTGTTGGTTTAACAGGTCAATTTGGGACCTGACCCCTTGGCCAGATGACACCCTGGTTTGAGTTTAAGAACATTGGACTTATAGTAATAACATAAATCTTTTATCGATAAGTTTTTGGTGTTAAAATTAACGATAGAGGGACAATTAGATAAATATTTATTAGCACTATCATATAATAAATTTTTAACGGTGAACTGAAGACTAACAGCAAGAGAATTTGTGTTATAAGAAATGAATGGAATAAAAGTACTTCCGATATTATTGAAACATTCAAATTAATGAACTCTGAAATCTCAATCTTTCTTCTTGTCCACTGATTGTGCCTGAATAAATTTATTTGATTGATGGCAGAGTCAAATTTGGAACCACAAATTGCTCTTGCATATAACTGCATTTTAATTAGCTGATGTAGTACAGTGGATCAGGCAGCTTGAACATCCGGTTGCCAGAGTGGCCGCCGAGGAGATCGCTCCATTGATCTCCAATGTTTCCGACCACCCTATATCCATTCCTCTCAAGCTTTCTTCTTTCAGTCGATTTGTACACAACTGCTGTTTTTCCTGAATAAGATGATCCCCTGCACCCAAAAAATAAACCAGTAATTAAATCTGATGAGGGCCTGTAATTATAATGTAATTAACTTTAGGTTTTGATGAATGGCGCAGTGGTTACTTGAGGATGAGTTTCTCCCAAGAGTGGTATCCAGCATTCTTTAAATTTGTTGTTGTGACTGTTCTTTGGTCATTTGGTCTTCCAGTGAGAAAGACAACCTTAATCCCAAGTGATAAAAGCTTTTTGTACAGCTTCAAACTCTCTGGTAGTGCTGGTGCTTTCACTGTGTTCACCCATTCATTCGACGATGTATGGTTAAATTGCTCCACCCTGCACGGAAAAAGACAACCGAAAATTCTCAAAGTGCTAACCTCTGTATACTAAGCGAACAAAAAGTACACAAAACACATGATGCTACAGAGGAGAACAGTATCGGCATGTTACCATGAACCGAAAGTAGTTGAACAGGCAGCACACATAATTTATAGGGAGATTATCATCAAACCTAGCTAGCTGTCTATACATAAAGGGTTGACGGCTGGTCCCGATCGAACTCATTATGTTCTTCACTTTATGATGGGAAAACAAATTCTGTTTCCGATTTACATATCAGCATAATATCTATATATGATAGAGGTTCACATGATTTCTTAAACTTCTTTTTTTTTTTTTTTTTAATAATCAGGATATCTAGGCCAGCTCACATGCATCTTAAATAATCTCGGAACCCTAAAATGATCGGTTAGATAAGAGTTTTAATGATTATTCATATTAACAACCGAAAAGAAACTTGAACTCAAGATCGTTTGAGTAATACACTAAAGAATCTCTATCAAACAATTTAATCATGTAAAGATAATTAAATTAATTTCTTAAAGTTGATAGAAACTACGTAAAGAAATTAAAAAAAAAAAAAAAAGAATGTATATAATAGCTAAAGTTTTGGACAATTGATCCTTGACCACTCAACTTCCCGGAATTCTTATCGATGCCGAGTCTTGAGTATTTTCCAAGTTTAATATCATTGTTTGACATTGTTATAATCTCAAACAACAGTAAACAACTCTAGGCTTAGATGTGAAGGAATATATAGGAGATAATGTATAATAATAATAATAATAATAATTCAACTTAAATGAATTATTTTATGATTACGTACCCGAATCCATGCTTAGCATAATAAGGCAAATTAGAGAGTGATGTTTCATCTATGTCAAAGATCCAAACGTCCTTGCCCTTGCCGCCGAGTTTCAGGCTTTTAGCGTAGAGGTAAGCTTCATTAGTAACGACGGCCGAATCTTTCCTGTATTGGTCACCTAACATGTAATGCCCCACGTAGTTTTCACACTCTTTTGGAACTGTTTTCCATCCGACCATGTTGTTAGTTTCCACGGCAAGGCGCCAGCTCACGCATGACAAGCTCGGCACATCGTCTTTTCTGGCGCCGGATTGCGGCCGGAGAAGGTGAATCTGATGAGCGATATGATCACCCTGGGCCTGGGATGTTGCTACAAGTGTAGCTAGGAATAATAAGAGCAGTGGGAACATTGGCAATAATATTGTTTTTGTAGGGAAGGGAAATATTTGAGAGTTGGTACTTCAATTTGTTGCCAATTTGCCTCCTTTTTATAGCCTCTTTCTTGTGCAATGACCTCTTTTTTGTAATTTCTAGAACTTGCTAAATTGATGAATGAGTAAAATGGAAAGTGCATGTTCATCCTTTGAAGTGGAGCTTTTGGGGGTGTATTTTTAATTTTTTATCATTGGGTTTGTTTAGGCTGATTCCTACATCTCAATTAATCTCTTGGATTTTTGGAGTTATCGATTGGATAAAAATCTCAATACTCACTTCTATTAGTGTCTCGAGCATATGAAGAGTAGCTCATGAAAAAGAAAGATAATTTTCACAATTTCTTTGTCATTTCTCTTAGTTTCAAATTCACAACTGACAATTATTAGAATGAATATCGAGAAAAGAGGGTAATACAAAATTAAGTTCAAATTGAGATCGTCAGATAGGCACCCTGACAGTGGGTGTTTTTTTAAATCATTTATGTGATTAATTAATTAGATTATGTCGATGGATATATCGAAAAACATATTTAATCATGCATGTGAGAGTACGTAATCTGTTAATTTGATGGATACGACGGTGTTTATCCTTTAAATTACGCTAACTTTGAAGATCAAGAGGTGTGATTTTAAAAAACTTAATTTAAAATTAAAATTTTTTATGATTATTTGTGCAGAATTCACGTTGAAGAACTAAAACTCAGTCCTTTTTGTTAACCTCATTTCGATATGACAAAACAAAAACCAAAACGTTTCATCGAGGAAGGATTCTTCATTAATCCAAAAGGAAGAAAAGAAAATGCTCAGCTTAATTTGTATCGAAGCATCATCAGGGTGTGGTTACTGCTAATTGGTCCTTGTGTGGGGGCAAATTTCAATGACGAATCCACTGTTGCTTTGAATTGTAGCACAGTGTCACTTTCAGTTCATACAACATATATATCCAATTGCAGAATAATTTTCTTTTGTGGATTCTTTTTCTTTTCTCTTTGTGTTCTAGTGATGCATATTGACTCTGTAAATTAAAGTGGTTGGCTTTTGGCCCTTCAAGATACCAAAGTAAGCTATAGCTTCTTTAACCCTTGCCGAAAGTCTCAAATTGCATTATATATTTCTACAGTTGTTTTTAGGCAATCTAGCATTCTCAGAGTCAGAGCTTCTAATAAAATAGGTAAAATGAAAGTGATGGATACACTGAACCAAATGTTAAATCAGAAATTCAAGATTATTACAAGCACTTATATCGAACAATAGAGCTTGTTGACTAGAAAAAAATATATGATTGATAATACTTGTAACTATAGTACTAGTTGAATGCATCATGGGAGAATCCTGAAGCGATCAGCCCACCATATGAAGAGAAAATCTTAACAGTTGGGATGAGAAAAATATAATTTAATTAGATGAGCTCTAAAATATCTTCTCTATAGTTATAGAGTGATCATATTTGCCCCCATCATTTATCTTTATAAACCCTATTTCTAAGTTCACCCTTTTAAATTTTTTAAAATCTAAATAAACCCCATCCATTTATAAATTAATCCTTACATTTATATTTTCATTATTCAATCAAACATATAATTAGTTGTGCACGTTGTTAAGTTCCAATCATGGATTCATATGAATAACAAACTTATAAAATTTGAAAAAATGTGCAAATTCAATTGAAAGTTAGAAATAATAAAAAAAGGGATAAAAATAAACCCAAAAAATATAATACTATATGTTATTTTATTTTTGTAACTAAGGTGTTTGCGTCGACTTATGAATATCTTGACTAATCCTTGGGAGAGACTAGCGTAACAACCTATTGTCATGGCCTCCACTTAAATCGCGGATGTTTAGATAAGAAATTAAACCTGTGATCTTGTGGCTGTTATACTATCTTCAATTCGCTCTAACTATCTGACTACCCACGGATGGGTAACTTGTTCAACCATGACCTATATTATTTTGGATTTATGATGTAGAAAGTAAAATAAGAAACTTAAATTAATAGTAAAAGATTTATTCTAGATGAATTGCGCATAAATACTTTTATCTTCCTTGGTAATTTTTTTAAAGGTTGAAAATATAATAAAGAAGAAAATAATAATTGGGATCTCAATGACATCCCCCATAGTTATATTGGCTTATAGCCTAATTAGCAATTAGCAATTAGCTAATTATATTGATAGCCAAATTTGACCATCAAAGTGTTCAATATTTTAGGCGAAAATATATAATTTATTTTTATTTTCATTTAATATTATGTAAAAAAATCACATGGTAAATGAGTCTTATATTAATATAAGTTAGAAGATAGAAAATATTTTTACATTTATTTAATAGGATTAATTTAGACAGATTTTCCATATCAAACGTCGCACATGTTATAATAATCTTTATCTTATTAGTCAATATAAGCTGGTTTTTCGTTCTAATCAAACTTAATAAACTAGCTAGATGAGTTCAAATAAGAGAAGATTGAAAATATTTATTAATTTAAATATCGTATCCAATCGTATCCACTAAGCCAATATATTCATTGGTCATTAATTACGTGAACATTAATTCATAGCTAGATAAATTGGACTATACGTACACACTGTTCTATAATAGTTGATTGAGCAAGATCATTAATCCCCTTAATTTTACATAAATCATATAGGTAGACAACTTTTTCCCACACAATGTTTGTCTCAATAACAGTTCCTCAGCTAAAAAGTTTCAAAATTTCACATTTCCACCCAAATTTTATATTCGTTAATACCCCAAGTGGATTCGGATGGCAAAAATTCTCTCTGTTGTCACCTTTTGAAGCTTTGGTCTCTTTTTTATAAAACTCCTCTCACTCTGACACCTAATTTTTCTCCGATTATCTGTCACCTCAAAGCTAATGTTTACTGTTCTTAGTTGATTTTCGGAATGATATTCAATCTGTCACCACCATTCGATCCACTAGTCTCTACTTTACAAAATCTCTCGTACCTTGGCTTCTGTTAACTCGTTGAACACCGATTGAGAAAGTGAAGTGTGTCTTGGATATTAACGGAATATAAACTGTGTGGGAAAGTGATATTTTGAAACTTTTTGGATGAGAAAGTGTCATTAAGGCAAACCTTGGGTGGGAAAAAGTCGATTACTCAAATTATATATAACATAAGTTGTCTATCATCAGTTTAAAATATTAAAGGGATTGTGATTTTATTAATTCTTCATAAACCGAATTCATAGTATTTGGAATTGAACGTGAGACCATACACATGTTCAAACTATCTATAATTGGCCCTTACCATTTGGGATATCCAAAGATACGTTAAATTTGACCATGTGTACACACTATTCTATGGTAGCGGATTGAGCAAGATCATCAATCCCCTTAATTTTTACATTAAAATATATATGACAAAGTTTTTTTATTCTCCGGAAACCGAATTCATAGCATTTAACTATGGTGCGTAGTACATTGGATTAGGCAGCTTAAACGTGCGGTTGCCTCGATGGATCCCCTGAATATCAGCCCATTGATCACCTATGTTTCCGATAATCCTGTACCCATAAATCTCCTCAAGCTTCCTTTTTTCATTTGATTTATATGATTCAACTGTTGCATTTGTCGGATAAGATGACGCCCTGCAACCAAAAGGGTTAATTAAATGAAAATGATTTAATTAAGAAAAAGGAATAATTGGTTGATTAAAAACTTTGGTTACCTGAGGATAAGTTGCTCCCAAGTGTGGTATCCAACGTTCTTCAGATTGGTTGCAGTGACCTTCCTCCATTCTTCAGCTCTTCCCGTCAGGAACACGACCTTGATCCCAAGAGACAATAGCTTCCTGTAAAGCTCAAGACTCTCCGGCAAAGCTGGCGCTTTGCTTTTGTTGACCCATTCATACGCCAACGTTTTGTTAATCGGTTCTGCCCTGAAATTTTCAGACCATGGTCATATCTCTATGTTATCACACGTACTTAAACCCTTATACTATCATGATTCAATCAAATCTTTTAATTATATTTGTTGTAACGTAACGGTTTATGAATACATACCCGAATCCATGCTTGGAAAAAAAAGGCACATGAGAGATAGAGGTCTCGTCAACGTCAAAGATCCATATGTTTCTGCCGTCGCGGGGGAGCTTGAGGCTTTTAACATAGCGCCACGCCTCATCAGTGACGGCTTTGGAGTCTTTCCTGTACTGATAGCCTAGCATGTAATGCCCCACGTACTTTTCACATTCTTTGGGAACTGTTTTCCATCCTCTAATATTATTAGCTTCCACGGCAAATCGCCAACTGAGGCATGATGAGTCTGAAGAATCCTGGCTACCGCGGGACGTTGCTACAACTGTAGCTAGCAGGAAGAAGAATACTGAAAACACTTTCATGGTAGCTGGCTATAATAATGTTTTTTTTAATTTTGAATTTGCATAATTTTTCTTCTGTATATAGGCTAAAGCAAGGTGTATATTCGACCTGATCAAACTAATGAGAAGAGAAAATAGAGATGAACAAGTTCAAACTTGATTTTTATACATGCACATATTAATTTCAGATTTGAATTTTCTCCTCATCTAAGTCTTTACTTAGGAAAAATATCAGTCTTCATAGTTGTTAGTTAATTAAAAAATATTGATTATAAAAAAAAAAAAAAAAAAAAAAAAAACACCTGTCCTGTATCAGAAAGTTCTTCGAAGTTAAAAGATAAGCTTGGACGTCGTGGAAAAGTTGGATTCTTTCTCCGGGCATGGAGCCCTCTGTAGCATGCCTTTGTTGACAATTGAAAATATTAAAACGATTGAGGTCAGAATTTGGGCACGTATTTCTACTAGCCACATTAATTTATATGAAATATGAAATAGCAATTGAATTGAGTGGATCTCAGGGAAGCCGCGGTTGATCTGATATTTATGTGAGACAATATTTATTGGGGGACCAAAGGGGTCTGATATAAAGTGTACCTCTCTGAAGCTTAAGTCAATGGTTTTTCTAACAAAAATATTCACAGTTTAGCATATATATTTTGGGCAACAAAATTAAGCTACACAGGTGCAGACATATTTCTCGAAATTTAAATTTGTATATATAATATGGGTGTTGACTGTAACTTATGGTTTTATGAGTTGAATACTTACTGTAATAAAGTTTTTTTTTTTTTTTAAATTTAACATTAAATATGTATCAGTATCTAATTTTTTCAGTATGAGAAATGAAGGAAGAATAATGTATTGTTAAAAGTATTATATCAAACAAGCAAGCAGAAATGAGAAAAAAAATAAAAATTAAAACTTAAATAAATAAATTTCATATTTCTTGCCTCAATCGTTTTAATATTTTCAATTGTCAACAAAGGCATGTTACTGAGGGCTCCATGCCCAGAGAAAGAATCCAACTTTTCCACAACGTTCAAGCTTATCTTTTAACTTTGAAGAATTTTCTGATACAGGTCAGGTTTTTTTTTTTTTCTTTTTCTTTTTCTTTTTTGGTATAATCAATATTTTTTTCTTTAATATATTTTTTAATTAACTACTAACTATGAAGACTGATATTTTTCCTAAATAAAGACTTAGATGAGGAGAAAATTCAAGTTTGAAATTGTTGATGCTTGATTTTGATACCAATTTTTCGCATGTGAGAAATGTTAAGTGGACTCAGAAGTCACACGTGGTTATGGAAGTATTTAGTTGAATAAAGGATGAAGAACAATGTTTAAAGTGATTTGGATGCTTATAAGGTGAATTCTACGCCCATTGATATTGTATTAATGAGTAAAGTCAAGTCGCGTTCAGCATATAAACATTATATGTCCCCTTTGTATGTGTCTTTGTAAAACTAGCATTGCTCTATCTTAAAATGATCAGAATATAAACATTATTGAGCAAGAACCTATAAGGATCATGAAAGTCATATGCCATTGAATCAACACAGTCCCTTCCATGTATAACATTACAAATTCTATATCAAGAACAACCTATAATGTTTCTTAATGGTTCAAATAATGTCCTTATCAAGACAAATGTTAACCAAAACACTTTCATTTATCAATCAACAACCAGTCCCACTAATTGACTGGATTTCTTTTCACCAACTCAAACAGAAATCACTACAACAATAATATTCGACCACTCCATTCAACATATGTTTGCACCGCATGATATACAATTAATCAACCCTGACCAATATGAATCTATTACAAGTCACACATCCAACACACTGAAATAATAACATACTACAAAAAGGCACTCCACAACCAACCAACACAATTTTTTCATTCATCCAGACACAAAAATAGAAAATATGCAAAAGTCATGCCGATGCATAATTATATATACAAACATACACGTAATACAATGGGGTGCAGGGGTTACATTTATGCCTAACATAATTTTGATTTAGATAAAAATTTATTATTATTAAAACATAAATGTATATTGAAAATCTCTTTTGGGAGATAAAACAATATATGATAATTAAACTTAGTTGATGTATTTTCTTAATTGGTAATCAAATGTACTTCGTTAGACATGTTCGTTATCTTTGATGTACTAACACCCTAATCAAGTACATTAATTAACCTCAGTGATGTTTATAATTATAGGTTATAATCTACTACTGTAGGATCCTTACTATCCTACAATTTATGAATTTCAAATTATTCATGTCAATACATCATGTCATCTCCCTAAAGCATCTAATGATCTTGATAATTGAATCTAAATTAGTTGTATCTATGGGATAATCATTCTAATTTGGCCACTTTCGTGACTAACAAATTATACTAATATAGTTATCAACTTAAATAATAACTAATTATATCCTAAGTGACATTCTATCTTTCCTAAAGAAAATTATACTTTATAAACCTATACACATCCTTCACGTGCCCTCATGCACCCTGCGCCCTACCCCGCACTGCCACATGCCCTCACGCGCCAGACACATGTCGTCACATATTGTCGTGCATTGTCCCATGTTGGGCATGTGCTCTCACATGTTGGGCACATGCCCTCACGAGTCGATTAGCCCTTTTTGCCCTTTGACTAGTTTAGTCACGGCTGACTGGTTTGACCCGTTGATCGGTTTGAACTATTGACGTTGGGCCGGATCAGTTTCACTCGTTTATACTTAATGAGTTGGGCTTTTATGGATTATTCTTAATGGTTTTGGGTTTGGGTTGTGAATTGGGCTCTGGCTCACTTAATAAACGGCTTGGGCTTTTTTATTTGGTTTTATAAACTTTAAAAAAAAAAAAGCTTTAAAATGATCTGATCAACAAAGAAATAGTGTTATTATATGGTCAATGTTTGACCCAAACTTTTGGAAATTTTATTGAAAACATGTCTGGAAAATCATGTTTCAACATCAGAAAAATTCGATTCCATTCAACTTTCCACCATTTAAGAGATTTACAAATCCAATCTAATTTGACAGTCATCTTATTTGTCATTTCCAAACCCAATCTAATTTTTTTATACCATAAGAACCCTAATATATAAAATTAATTAATGAAAAATACTCAGCTTCTAAACCTGGATTTACTCTGTACCACAGGTAAAAAAAACTTAATATCATTTCATCAATGACAAGAATTAGTAATATAATCATATTTATATGCCTTAAATTGTATAAACATAAATCTAATATCGGAAACTTAATGAATTTTTACTATTTATTAAAGAAGTAATACATACCTAGTTTCATGATTAAATTTCTTGATGATGTGAAAGAAAGTGTGTATTTTCTCCCTTTGTTCCCTTTCTGTCAATTTCTTTTGCTGATAAAGAAAAACATATATTAAGGAATAGAGAGAGAAAACCCATTTTAATAGCATGCGCTTTATAATTGCCAAATTGCAGTTCTTTTATTAATGGTAATACCTCACAAATGAATCACAAGTAATGAGTCATGCCTTAGCTAATTTAATTATTTCAAAACACCATGTGCCACCTTATGTGATTAAAAACTTTCCACATCATGGTCAATATATATTCATCATGAGGTGATATAATAAAAAATTAGATGAATTTTGGATACTAGAAGATACTGAAATGAAAAATAGGTGTCTAACTTTAATTTACTGAAGTTTAATTTATGAAATAATTTTACAAAGTAAAGCTTGGTTTATACATGTTGTGTCCTTGCCGCGTGCTCAACAATAATACTTAGCCAAAAAGTCATATTAAATTCAAAAAGAAAAAATAGTTAACCTCACCTAAAAGTTATGAATAATGCTATAAATTGTTTAAAGTTAAATAATCTTAATATTTATTTATAATGTCATTAATATCACATCACTATTATTTATATGTTTTCATTTTTACTAATAACATAAAAACTAATATTCCTAATTAATTAAATAAATAAAGAAAAAATATATCTTTATACTTGGACTTAGAGATGGCAATGGGCCCGATATTTTCGGGTACCTGGCCCGACCCAAAAGAGGCGGGTTTTACCCGAGGTTGGCGGGCTTGGGCTTGGGCCTGGGCTTGATTTTAAGGCCCGACCTCGGTACGGGTGGGCATAGGTATATCTTTAGTCGACCCCCTAGCCCGTCCCAAAAAATTTAGTATTAATTTTACTAATTTACCCTTTACTATATATTTATTGCAATATTATCCTATATATATATATATATCCATTTTTCCCAAACTCTACCCTCAATTTTCTCCCATATTGAAGGTTTAACCTGTTAAATTGCCTTTAAATGAGTTAGATGGGTTTGGTTCAACTTAAAAGTGGATTTCCCATAACATATATGCACAGCTGAAAAGTTAGTATAATCAAATATTAGAAGTTTTAATTGTTCACTTATTGCTTAAATTATTGCAGAAATAGCTCAATTATATTTAAAATTATTTCTAAAATTAAAAATATAAAAGAAAATTTGAAATTTATTAATATTTAAAAAACATTATTAAAAAGGCGGGCTTGGGCCGGGCCTGCGTTATAAAAAACCCGTCGGGTCGGGTTTGGGCTTTGCCTATCATACTCGTAGTGGGCTTGGGCCGGGCTTGGGTCTGTGTTATGAGGCCGGGCTTGGGCTTGGGCTTGGGCCAAGGGGTACCCGTCCCGGCCCGCCCATTGCCATCACTACTTGAACTAATAAATAATCGAATAAGATTTTGAATTAACTATTTTAATTTGTAATACTAATTAAGAAATAAACTATTTAGGGTATTTCCCGTGATATCGGACCATTGATCACCTATGTTTCCAATAATTCGTATCCATCAATCTCCTCGAGCTTCTTCTTTTTCATTTGATTTGAATTCACATTTATAGCTTTGATGGAGACTCTGATCCCCTGCACCCAAAAAATATATTAGAGGATCCAAATACAATCAATAAAATTTCAATTTAAATATATAACTTACTTGAGGATAAGTTTCCCCCACTTGGTGTACCGAGATTTCTTGATTGATTTCTGTAGCATCTTTCAAGCTTTCAGATTTTCCTGTGAGGAAGGCAACCTTTATCTCAAGACGCAATAACTCATTGTACAACCTAAGACTCGCCGGCAAACTGGTGCTCGCTTTCCTCAAACCATTCCTTCTCGATGTCGTGTCCCTCGGCTTAGTCCTGAGATATTATTTTCACACCATATCAATATAAAATAAATTGTAGTAATTAGAATTATATAATAACATTATCTAACATAATCTGATAAAAAAATATAATTATGAGTAGGTACCCATATCCCATTTGAGCCAAAAGAGGCAGATTAGAGAGAGTGGTCTCATCTAAGTCAAAGACCAGTTTTCTGCCGTCCTGGGTGAGGTTCAGGCAAACTTAGAAGTGTTCATCATCTAAAGTTTTATACAAATAATCTTGGTCACTCAACCACCCGGAATTTCTAGTCATTAATTAGAATATTGAAGACTAGACTTTTATCTATGCCGAATCTTCGAATATTTTCTAAGTTTAATATCAATTGTTACATTGTTATAATCTCAAACAACAGTAAACAAATCTAGGCTTAGATGTGAAGGAATATATAGGTAATAATGTATGATAATAATTCAACTTAAATTAATTATTTTATGATTACGTACCCGTATCCATGCTTAGCATAGTAAGGCAAATTAGAGAGTGTTTTTCATCTATGTCAAAGACCCAATGTCCTTGCCGTGGCCGTCGAGTTTCAGGTTTCTAGCGTAGCGTAAAGCTAGATCAATAATGACGGCCGAATCTTTCTTGTATGGTCACCTGCACTTATTGCTCCACGTAGTTTTCACACTCTTTTGGAACAGTTTCGAATCCGACAGTGTCGTTAGTTTCCATGGCAAGGTGCCAGCTCGGGCATGACAGCTCGGAATATCGTATTTTCTGGCGTCGGATTGCGGCAGGAGAAGTGGATATGATCACCTTGGGCTGGGATGTTGCTACAAGTGTAGCTAGAATAATAAGAGCAGTGGGAACATTGGCAATAATATGTTTTTGTAGAGAAGGGAAATATTTTAGAGTTGATACTTAATTTGTTGCCAATTTGCCTCCTTTCATAGCCTCTTTCTGTGTAATACCTCTTTCTTATATTTTCTAAAAACCTGCGACTTTGACCATAACCTTATAACGCATAGATATGCATGGTGTATTAAATATATACTCCAAAGATCGATATATATAATCTTATATAATTTATTTAGAATATACGATCTACATTTTGGTTGAGTTCTCACAATTTCTTTCCATATTTTAAGATTTATGTCTTTTTATTTTACTTGATTCGAAGGGTTAAATATACTGCCTGAAACTGGTGAGTGGTGATCGATTGATTAAATCACCAAATTGATGAATAAGTAAATGGAAAGTGCATCTTGATCCTTTGAAGTGGAGCTTTTGGGATGATACTTAATTTTGCCAGTTTCTTTGTCATTTCTCTTGTTTCCAAGTTCACAGAATCAATGAATATCGAGAAAAGAGGGTAATATAAAATTAAGTTCACATGGAGATAGCCAGATGGCACCACATGAGTAAAGACAGGGGTTTTTTTAGATCATTTGTGATTAATTAAATAGTTAAGTCGATGGATGTATCAAAAACGTTTTAATCATGCATGTGAGTACGTAATCTGTTAGTTTGCAGGATACGGCAATGAAAACGCTAACTTTGACTCAAGAGGTGTGATTTTCAAAAACTTAATTTAAATTTAAATTTGTATGAGTTAGAGCTTCAATTTTAGTTTTTTTTTTTTTTTTTTTTTTTTTTTGGTTTAATAAAATAGGTAATATGAAAGTGATGGATACACTGAACCACGTACAAAATGTTGTTTCCTATGGTAATGATTTATTGCTATGTTTTGAAGAGGGTTAAAAACTCATAATAAGGGGTAAAGACGTGAATTAAACTACAGTACAATTGTAAAAGCTTATAATAATAATATTTTGTAATAATTATAAAAAAAATATGAGTATTTATTTATATACTCTTTATAAATAATATATTTATGATTTTGTTTACAATATGGAAATAATTGTGTAAAACAAACTAAAGAAATTTATTAATGAACAAGTTTAAGCCACACAAATAATAACACCTTCAAATTAAACTACAATAAAATTCTTATTAATAAAATGTTCAATATTTATCTAGCTTTTATAGTAAATATCATAACTTTTATATAATTTCATTTTTATGTTTCGACCTCTTAAATAATGCATCAAAATATAGATTTTTGATATTTGTCTTTTTTTTCCTAACTTCAATATTTTGATGTGACTATCTTGTAGTTCTAATAGTTAAAACGAAGTGGGGAAGTGTGGATAAGTACATAGTCTTAGGTTTGATTTTCCATCTGAGCATTCGCAATTTAAGTGAGAGGTTGTGGCATGGGTTGTAAGCTAGCCCTAGAAACATGGCGGGATCCAGCCCACTTGGCCCACCCTCAATTTTTTTTTCTTTAATATTAATATATATATTTTGGATTTTGGCTCACCCTAACAAAAATATTAATATATAATTAGTTTTTATTTTGGCCCACTCTAAAAAAATTTCTGAATCCGCCACTGCTAGAATATATATAGTAAGAAGTATTGAAATCCAAAACAATTGACATAATTAGTTTGACAAACAATTTTAGAAATGATATTTATTTATAAATATGTAAAAAAATATACAAACTTTCTTCTGTTGTTCTTTGTACAATTAAATAATAGATAAATTCATTATATATTTTTAAATGTATGTGTGGGTTTTTTTTTTTGCAAAAACTAAGAATTTAATTTTATATATTTGAATATTTGATGAATTTAAAAGTAAAGTCCATATATATATTTGATAATTTTTCAAAGTCAATGAAGGTCAATGACCCTCCTTGACCCCCCCTCCTCCGTCCATGTGGTCTTGTATAGCTTTTGTCTCGTCCTAACCCACTGCTTGTCCGATGGTAAGATGTGTTTGGAAGATAGTGTTTTTTGTTAACTCTTTAATCTTGGTTAAACTTTTATTTTTGATTCTATATTAGGAGTTTGTCCTGTGTTATTGATTGCCTTTATAGGCCACTGTATACATTATTTTTCCTTTTCTATTTAAAGCTTAATTACCAAAAGAAAAAGAAAATACTAAATGATGTGTTTAATCGAAATTCAAGATTATTACAAGCACTTATATTGAACAATAGAGCTGTTGACTAGAAAAAATATTTGTTTAATATTCATCTAATTGTAGTATTAAATGAATGCATCATGGATTCATGGGAGAATCTTGAAGCGATCGCCCCATATGAAGAGAAACTTAACAGTTGGTATGAAAAAAATTAATTCAAGCAGACGAGCTCTAAAATATATTTTCTATAGTTATAAAGTGATGTTATTTGACCCCATCGTTTATCTTTATAAACCCTATTTCTAAGTTTATCCTTTTAAATTTTTTAAAAAACATATCTAAATGTCTAATAAACCCAGTCCATTATAAATATCTCACCATTCATATTATATTTTCTCTTTATATATACTATTATCTTTATCTTCAATTAATATCAATCAAACATATAATCGGTTGCACACTTTGTTAAGTTTCAATCATGATTCATATGACAATTTTCTTAAAAAAGAAAAATAAAGAATAAAAAATATATAAATATATAACTGATAAATGTACAAATACAATTGAAATTAAAATAATAAAAAGGATAAAAAATAAACCCAAAATATATATTCGTACTATTAGCAAACTCGTTCATTCATGATCTATATATTTTGGATTTACGATGTAGAAAGTATAAAAAAATTTAAATTAATAGCAAAAGATTCATTCTAGATGATTTGTGCATAAATACAGTATACATATACATATTTTCATACACATTATTGACATATGATTGGTTAATTTAAAGTTAAAATTAAATTTCATATAATCATAGTTGTATGAGAAATGTTGTATGAAAATTGTAAGAAATATGTATGTAAATATTCAAATACTTTTATCTTCCTTAATAATTTTTAAAGGATAAAACATAATAAAGAAGGAAATATAATCGGAGTCAGTAGATAAAATGCGAAGAGCCATAAGCATCACTCAGTTGCAATGCTAAAGTTTAACCACAAGTGTTTCGATTTATATAGGTAGCTTATTTTGACCATCAAAGTGTTCGATATTTGAGGCGCAAATACATATTTTATTTTTATTTTTCATTTAATATTATGTACTAAAATCACATGGTAAATGAGTCTTATATATATAATTAGAGATAGAAAAATTTTACATTTATTTAATACAATTGATTTAGACAGATTTTCCATACCAAACGTCGCACATGTTAAAAGAATCTTTACCTTATTAGTTATAAACTAGCCGAATAAGTTCAAATAATAGAGATTGAAAATTTTGTTAGATAACGACATGTTCCCACCAAGGTTTCCTAAATCTATAAGTTCCCACCCCTAATTTCATATATTCCATATTCATTATTAAATAATATCTTAGTGACCGTTAAATTCTAACATATATACCGAAGTGTTATTATTAAACTGCCTACTATCTTCTACTTCTTCATTCTCCGTCTTCCCATCATCTTCTTCTTCATCTCCGCCTCCTCCTCCTGTATCACTTCTTCATCTTCCCATCCAACCATTCAAGACCTTAAGTAATCAATTCAAGACTTAAAAACACAAACAAGATCTAAAGATAGATGACATTTGCAGTGAAATTTGATATATAAAAGGTTAGACTCCTCATCCCATAGATCTTCAAGGGTCTTGAAATTTAATTCATAAAAAACACAAGAAAATTTTGATGTGGATAAACCTCTTCATTGTGAGAGAGAAAAAAACCGAGAATCTAAAGATTCACTTAAATCCAATATAATCAAAAGAGTTTACAAGCAATTACAATCCACTAAAAAATATTCACCAAATTTAAAACTCAATCACAACTCTGAAACAAATAAAATACATAAATGTTATAAGAGATGGATTAAAATCGCCAAAGAAGCAATCAAACTTAAGCTGTATAACTCTATCCAATCATTAAAATCAAAACTCACAGTCTAGATTAAAATTTTAACAAAACGTTTCCTCATTTACTCATAACCAAACAGACTTAATTGTGAAGCCATTAAATGTTCTGTATTGGTTAACACCATGCGTTGCCGTTTTGGTCCTTTATTGTTTGCAATCTTGTCGTCAATCTGTAACTAATCCAATGGTTGGACTCCCACTTGTTGGTCAAGGTATATAAGCGTGTGATTTTTCAGCTTTTAAAGAACACTGTCGCTCTCTTCGATTAAAAACTTTCTCTTTGCTAGGTTCATCTGTACACTCTAAATCTTGTAA